AGATCAATTAACCAGAGACGCATTTATCTCACTGACCGTTGACCCCCCTCTCATTCCAGAGCTTCTATGCCGGGGCGGCTCTCGGAGGGAAGAGGCGTGTGTCCCACAAAGACAGCTCGTTTCCAAAGGGCTTGGCAGTCTCTGACTTGGAGTGATAGCAGCCTTGTGGTTTATTTTAATCAGCATCTGATTTTCATTTATTCACCCAACAAATATATATTGCACACCTACTAAGAGTAAGGCCCTGTGCTGAGCTCTGCTTGGCAGGGGAGGGTGGGCAGGAGGAAGCAGAGCTGAGGCAGACAGGTGGCAGGCAGCCGGACCACTCTCGCTCTGTTTCCTCTTCTATAAAATGGGGGTAGTCATAGTTTCCACCTCATAGGCTTGTTGTGTTGACTGAGATGGTCCACATGGAGCATTCAGCACGGTGTCTGCCTGTAGCACCTGCCTTTTCCTCGACAGCTGTTAGAGGACATGCTCCAGCAAAATGAGGGAATAAAGCAAAAAAGAGGAAGATATGGAGCCAGGAAGCAGGGTATCTGGTTGGTTAGATTGGATGCTGTGCTTAGTAAGTTAAGTGTTAGCTGTGAGGATTGCTAGTTCAATTAAGATTAGATGAGTCAGTGAGTGTTGAGTTGGAATCCCTGCTCTGCCACTTAGTGGCTGTGGGATCTCCCCCCATTATTAACTCTCTCGTCTGACCTCCTCATCCTAAAATGGGAATAATAAAACCTACTTTATCAAGCTCCTGTGAAGTTTAGGCAAGGTGGCATCTGTAAAGTGCCCAGCACACAGTCAGCGCTTCTGGCTTACAAAGGGCTGAGCTGTCTCACTAGCATTAACCGAAGATGGAATACAGCACATGTGCACGGGATGGAGGTAACTGATTGGTTGTTTTTTTGTTTTTTTGTTTTTTTTCAGTGGGGGAGGTAATTAGGTTTGCTTATTTATTTATCTCTAGAGGAGGTAGTGGGGATTGAACCCAGGACGTTGTGCGTGCTAAGCATGCGCTCTGCCACTTGAGCTATAGCCTCCCGCCGATTGGTTCTTTATACTTAAATGCGTTGTCCAGATTTCCAACTATTGGTGAATGTTATTTTTATTTTTTTAACATGATAAATACATATGTCATGCATGCAGAGTTAAAAAGTAAAGTAGGCTTGTAATGAAAAACATCCATTTCTGACTTGGCCGGCACCGTCCCCAGTCCCGACCCCCAGAGGCAGCCACTGCTAACTCTACCTCTTCATTTCTAAATACTGTCATTGCTGTTTATTGATATGTCAGCTTGAAGACATTATTTATTGACATACTATTAGGTAGATGATAATTTAGCTCCATTTTACTAGTACCCACTCCATGAACTTCCCTCCCTCCATTCTCTCCGCACATTTAGGTCAGTTTTATGTGTTACATTATCATGACTGCATAAATATTGTCCATGTTGAGGCAAGTTGTATGTTGTGATTATATTTCCTTTCTTATCTCTTCGGTTTTTCCCAAAGTTAGTATTGTCTCTCTTTTTTCTTTGTTTGTTTGCTGAGTTTTTTTTAACATCTCTGACCTCAATTTTTTTCTGACTCTCAGACCCATCATTTTCCTAATACTATTATTTCTTAAATTACCAAATACGTCAGATAACCATTCAGCGTTTTCCCCGGGCACTCTCCCCTCTAGTGGTCCCGCTGGGATCCCACCGTAATCGTGGCTAGCTCCTTCTTGCTGCATCCCTCTCATCTTGGAACTGTCCTTGCTGCTCTGTCTCCTGGCCTCTGTACCTCCCTCTTTATTGTTTTATCCCCTCATTTTACTGGAGCACATCCTCCAGTAGCTTCTTAGAAAAGGTGCACAAGAGCTTAATGTTTATAGAGTCTTCACTTTTCTGAAAATAACATTGTTCTCTTTTCACATGTAATAGTTTGGGTGGGTACAGAATCCTAGGTTTAGAAGTATTTTCCATCAGAAATGTGAAGGCATCACCTCATTGCCTCCCAGCTTCCAGTGTTACTCCTGAAAGATCTGGAGCCAAACTTACTCCTGGTCCTTTGCATGTGACCTGATGTTTTCTCCCAGGAAGCCTTGAGGGTCTCTCTCAAGGTTCTCTTACTGCCTGGTGCCCTGAAATTTCAGAATGACAGCCTGAGAAGGTTCTTCTCCATTGATTGTACCGACACTGAGCACCCAAAGGCCCTTCAAACCTGAAGACTCCCGTTTTTACGTTTGGAGAATCCTCTAATACTATTTTCTCTGATAATTTCATCCCATAACTGATATCATATCCCCAAAAGATATACAAGAAAAGAAGCATAACTTCTGTCATCTCTTTCTAAGATTTCTATTTATTGGATATTAGACCTTCTAAGTTGACCTTACTTCCCATCCTCCCCCCCTTTCTTATCTTCCTTCTCTTTAAACTTTTTATTAACTTTTGGGTAGATATCCTCACCTCTAGCTTCAAGACTCTCTATTGACTATCAACTTCTGCTACTTTAATCACTAAGAACTCTTTCTTGTTCTTTGATTGTTCCCTTGTCAAAGCACCCAACTATGCTGCAACATCTAATCTCTTCATGGATTTTAATTCTCGGATGGTGTTTTTTTCAGTTTTCTCCTATTCTGTGCATTGTCTGCCTCCTGCAGGTTCCTGGCATCAGTTTGTCTCTTTTGATCTCTTCCTTTCCCGTGGAGACTTTCCTCAAACATCGAATGATCCCTGCCTCTCTGTTTGTTCTTCTGTGGAGGGCAACAAAGACGGTGTCCGAGCCCCTAATGGGCCTCCCCGCAGGGTGAAGGATCGCTGGCTGATGGTGCTTGAACAGCACCTGTGATGGGGAGCTCGTCTCTCACGAAACAGCCGACTCTTCTCTTTTTACCCAGAGTGCCATCTTGGAGCTTTCTTTCTCTTCTGTCTCAGGCTTGTGTGTTACTGTGATACTTCAGTCATTTAGAAGATAAAACTTTTTTTGAAAAGGCAATCCTAGGAGCCGTGTGGCAGTGGTTAAGAGGAGGGCCAAACCCTGCCTCCCATGGTGGTTGCGTGGCTCTGGGCCTCTCCCGGGGTTGGTTTTCTCAGCGATGGTGGCGCCGCTGGTGGTGGTGATGCCGCCCCTCTCGGAGGGTTCTTGAGCAGCTAGGCTTGGCAACGTGCCTGGCACAGGAAACGGACCGCAGGGCGGGGCTGACGTCTCCCCCAGTTGAATGTTGTACCTGTGAGTCAGTCTCTACATTCTCCTCGACCTTAGGACCAACTTCTCAAAATTCCAGGGGCAGAAGTAGAGAGTCCTGCCTCATTACTGGGTGCCTTGTGCCTCGGTTTTTCCCAGCCTCTGTGGCACGTCAGGTCGTTGTGCAAACCTGCTTTCCCTTTCCTGCAGTAAAAACCTCTCTGACAATTAATTTCCTTAAAGCTTTTCCTTCCAATTCTAAAAGAAGAAAAACGCAAATGCAGAGACCCGTCTTTCCCCTGTGCCTCTGTTCCTTGGGCTGCGGGTGGCCCTGCGGATCCAGGCTGGGGCCTTCGGCCGGCCCTGCACATCCCCTGCCCCCCAGCCCTCGCCCGCCCAGCCGCGGAGCAGGGAGGCCGTGAGGAGGGTGAGGAGGCCGAGGAGGCCGAGGAGGCGGTGTCCTCCAGAGAAGCACGTCGCCGCCGCCCCCCGCGGCGAGGGTCTGTGGCAGCTCGCTCCGCTCCAAGCTGACAGCCGACAAGAAGAGCTTCTGTCGGCCCCGGGAGGTCCGGTGTCACCTGCGATTAACCCTCAAAGCCAAAACCAAGCAAGTTCCTGATTAAATGATGGCGTCCCGGGTTCCCCGTCACCCCGAGTGGTGCCGTCCCCCACCAAGGGACCCTGGCAGCTGTCAGGACAGGTGCCGGCCCCTCCTCGCCTCCTCGGGCGTGCGCCTCCCCCTCCCCCTCCCCCGCCTCCCTTTCTCCAGAAGGAGGACCGGCCCTTCCCCCCAGACTCGCAGCCGCGGCTGGGCTCCTGGAGAGGCCGCGAGGACGCCGCCCTGGGGAGGTTACGGCGTGCTCCCGCCCAGACCCACGGCGAGTGGGGCCGAGACGTAACGCACAGCGAAGGTGTGGCTGGAGGCAGGGTCTTGTCTCGTGCAAGAAGGGTTCAAGAGCGAGTCGTGACAGACTGGAAGCAGGTTTGTTCAGGGAGATACACACTCCATAGGCGGAGGGGGGCCGTCTCAGAAGGCAAGAGACGCGGCCGTGGAGATGCACACTCCGTAGACTGAACGGGTGTGTCTCCGGAGGGGAGGGGCCCCGAGGTGTGGGCGTGGCTAGTTTTTACGGCCGGGTAATTGCATATGGTAACCAATGAGAGGATTATTCCAACTGTTTTGGGGAAGGGGCAGGGCTTTTTCAGGACTTGGAGCCCCACCCACTTTGGGGCCTTTCACCATCAGCCTGGGAACTGTCACGGCGCCTGTAGGTGTGTCACTTGGCAGCTACTGTATTGCAGTGAGCGTACAGTGAGGCCCCAGGTCCACTGGGAGCGGCATCTTCCACCATCCTGGCTCTAACCAGTGTGTCCTGTCCTCAGTGGCTGTGTCCTTCCTTCAGTGCTTGTGCCCTGCCCCCTTCCTTCCTGTCACAAAGGGACTCTTCTGGACCCGGGAGTGTGGTCGGATGCTTTCGACCTGATGAGCTCATCGCTGATGAGAACATTTCCACTTTGCCAGTCTGCTACCCAAGACCCCTAAAGTGCCTCCACCCGGCCATGAGCAACCCCAAAGTCACCACCTGGCCTCCTCTCCACCCCCAGAGTCCTGGGACCTGGGGCCATGGTTTCCAGGCCCTCCGGGGGTGGGAACAAAAGCCCTTCTCCCCCAGCAGTTGCAGGCCGTGGTCCACTGCAGCAGGGTTCCCTGGAGAGACGCAGGTCCCCAAACCGTCTGGCCTCCTCTTCTGAAGCAGGGCGCCCCTTTGGTCCGTGAACGGTTCTCTTTCCCAGCCCCTGCCCTTGTGCCAAGCCAGATTATCTTTCCTCTTACAGACCCTGGCCATCACGACTCCACATCCAGAAGGAGACTGGCTCAGGGAAGGACCAGCCCCAGGCAGAAGGAGTAGAAGTCAGAGCTCAGGAGCAGGAGGGCAGCTGCTGTCTGCTGCGCACCGACCACATGCCAGGTGCGTCACACGTCACTCCTTTGTGTGAAATCAGTACAAAGTGAGGGCGACCTGAGGCTCGCTGGGGGAGCAGCGAGCGGAGGGTTCCAGGCAGAGGGAGGTGCTCCACGTTATTTATCTTCTCTACCGTCAGGACGTCCGTGTGGTGTCCAGGTGTCTTGGATACACGATGCCACTGCTGAAGGCACGCGTCTGCCTGATGGACGGGCTAGTTTCTGTAGGCATCACACCAAGGCGGGAAGGCTGTGGTGTGTGACATCCATGCTCACTCCTACTAGGTCAGGTCAGCGTGTGGTCCAATCCGAGAGCTGCTGTCAACCGCTGACAGGTGCCTGTGTGTGAGTCACTGAACCTCTTAGTCTTCAGTCCCCCAGTGGGAGCAGGTGGCCCAGCCATGTTCCTCCCAGCTCAGCTTCTGCGCTGTGTGAACGCTAATACTTCACTCGGCTGCTCTGATCTACCTCCGCTTGCAGAGCAAACTCCCCCTCAAAATGCCAGCTGCCGTGTAAGGAGAGGAACCTCAGAGCAGAGCCTTGGCACCAGGGAGGCGCAGGAGGGAACCCAGCTTTGTACGCGCCGTGTGGCCTCGAGCAAGTTCTCTGGGCTGCTTCCTTGTCTTTGTCGGCCCTGGCCACCAGAACAAGATACCAGAGACTGAAAGGCTTAAACAGCTGACCTTTATTTCTCACTCTTCTGGAGGCTGGAAATCCAAAATCAAAGTGCCAGCCGATTTGGGTCCTGGTGAGAGCTCACTGACTGGCCGACATCTGCCTCCTCGCCATGTGCTCCCCTGGCGGACAGGGAGCACGCTCTCCAGGGTGCTAATCCCGTCGTGGGCCCCATCCTCGAGACCGCATCTCAGTCTGACGCGTCCCAGAGGCCTCGTCCCCAGATACCCACGCGGAGGATTAGGGCCTGAACATCTGGATTTGGGGGGACACAGTTCAGTCCACAAGGGGACTGACGGGAGGGGATGGATATTCAGGAGGTGACTGATACGGCGGCTGGCACACAGTAGCTGTCCAACCCTGAGGGCGCTTCATCCCGCTGGCAGGGTTCACCGCTGCCCCTTCTGCAGGTGCGGTGCAGGCACCCACTCTTACCGTCAAACTCTAGTGCCCCACAGGGCAGGGGCCACGCTGGCCACTTCTCTGCATTCCCTGCCCCCAGCACAGCACTCGGCGCGGGGTGGGTGTTCACACCTCCGGGAAGAACAGGCCCCACTGCCGGAGCACTGACTCGAGCAGTCAGCTCAGGAGTCCTGCGTCGCCAGCGTCGCTTGCGGCCGGGACGCACGCGGTGTTACTGATGGGGCGGGCTTGGACTAGATCGGGTCCTGTGATTTCCTCGTGCATAAGGTAGAAGGGTCCCTTCGATCTCTGTTTTGGAAAAAGGGCTTTGCCACTCCCCCAAAGCAGAAGCATGCTAACACCTGATCCTCAGTTCTCCTGTGCACTCACCGTGCTTAGCAAGTCTCTGTACTAAGAAGCTGCGTCTACCAGTTGGGAGGCGTTGTGCTGCAAGTGACAGGAGACCCGATTCTAAACGGCTTAGGTAGGGCAAAGAGCATGTCATCTTACATGTGAAGTTCTCCAGCGGTGGGAGGGATCCAGTGCTGGTTAGTTCAGTGCCCAGGAGGTGACATCATCAAAGACCCAGATTCTTTCCATCTCTTTGCTCTGTCATCTGGGGCTGTTAGCTTCTGTCCTCAGGTCACAGGATGGCTGCAGCAACCCCCAGCATCACACATACCTTCATGTGCTAACATCCCAATGCTCGATGACCTTATCCTTTCCTTGTGTTCCTGTCAGAGGTCAAGGAAAGCACCAGAATTGCCCCCAGCAGACTTTCCTGACGGTTCTGCTGGCCCTAAAGCACTTCAATGCTCATTCTGACACCGCTGGTAGAGACCAAACAAGATCCGCTCCTGGCAGCTTAGAAGCTGCCCAACCTCCCAAAAAGCACGAGGCCACCTGATTCCTGAATAAAACAGGGATTGCACAAGCAGGAAGGGCAGGGGGTGACTTGTATAAACAACGCAGTGCCAGCCACACATTCAGTAAATCACTTGTGCAATCAAGGTCTTGGGATGTTGGCACTTTAAAGGTAAATGTGTTTTCCTCTATAGAAATGACTGTTCTGACGCGATGTCAGAGAGTGATTGTCGGGGCATCGTGATGTTGCACTGAGCCACAGTCTCTCCCCAGGTGACCCAGGTGGCCGGTGCTCTGCGTGAGCCAAGGGGCTTGTAGAGTTCAGGACTCCTGTCTGCAAAGTCGCTGCTGTCCGTGCACAGTTCATCGGAGGGAGCGTCCTCATTTTTAACCTCTTCACATCAGTTGTTGCTCATACAGCAAGTGTGTATTTTTACTTAAGGCTCTTGAGTTGCACATAGCCCAAGCCCACTCAGGCCAGCCCAAACTAATGGCGAGGTGACTGAAGGCCTCAGCAAGGACCGGACGTCACCTGTGGCCAAGGCTTCCATGGTTGGGAAGCTGAGTTATCCACCCAGAGAGATGATTTCTTCCACTTCGCGTGGTCCCTGGGGGTCTCTCACTGCAGCTTCACCCAGCAAACCAGCTTGCTCTGCCTCCTGACACCTTCTCTGCCCTGGTCTCTGCTTTACAGTGGCCAAGTTCTAGCCTCCACGGCCACCCAGACGCCACCTGCTAGCTCCGTTCCCCCCAGCACACTCACCCGCCCCACTGTCGCTCTGGCTCGTATGAAATTCCCAGGCCAGGGGATTTGACCACTGCGACCTGCCGGGGCTGGTCCCCCTGGGGCGGGTCGGTCAGCCGTGGCCGGAGCGCTTATTCGATACAAACGAGATACCAGGGCTGCAGCCATCGGAGAGGGTATGAGTAGGAAGGCAAACGTTGGATACTGGTGTATCTGTTGCCCTAGGCCTGGCTTCTCATGTTTGTTCACTTTTCTTTTTTTTCTGTTTTCAAACTATACAATACATTGATGCATGTTTGTTGTGAACACTGAAACGTGTAATGTCCAAGCCCTCCTTGACCGCTAACCTCGGATCAGAATTCATTCCACTTCTTAGATGTAATCAGATTAGGGTGACCACATCCTCTCAAACTTTTCCCCTCCTGCCTCTCCCTCCCCTCCCCCTCACTATTTCTCTCCTTTTCACACGCGCGCACACACACCCCTACATAATTATAGGTGTTGGATTACAGAGATGATTTTATACTGTATTGTGATACTTTTCCAACACCAAATGTGCAGTGTTTTTCTGACACCAAATATGTGTTATTTTTTCACGCATCAACCAATTCTCTGACACAACTGGGTGTCCAACAATTCAATTCTGGCACTAACTTCCCAGAGTTAGAAAGACGCCACGGGTTACAGGCTCCAGCCCCCACTCCAGACGTCAGCTCCAGTCCCAGGGCCACCTGCACTATCATAGTCGGCAGCTGTAAACAGCGTCTCTCACAGCCTCCTCGCCAGGTTCAGTAATTTGCTGGGATGATTCGCAGAACTCAGGAAAACACTACTTAGTAGAGCAGTTTATTTTAAAGGATCCAAATGAAAACACACGTGAGGAGGTCTGGAAGGGTCCCAAGCACAGGAGCCTGTCCCCAGGGAGCTGAGGAGTGACTCCCCCCGCCGTGTGCATGCATTCAGAGGTTTGGATGCTCTTTGAGCCCACTGGTTTGGGAATTTTACCAGGGCTTTATCACGTAAGCATGATTGATTAAATCATCCACTGTTGGTGACTGGACTCAGTCTCTAGCCTCTCTCCCCTCCCCAGAGGTTGGGCTGCGGGGCTGAAAGTTATAACCCTCTAGTCACCTGCTTGGTTTTTCGGGCTACCGGCCCCCATTCTGAAGCTCCTAGAGGCCCCTTACCCAGGAGTCATCATGCAAAATACATTCACACTCATCAATCTGCAGATTCCAGGAATTTTAGTAAATTATCGCTTATTTTTGCAATGGAATAATATATACACAGTTTAAAATGAATAAACCAATACAAATTAAGTGGTTGTCAGATTAGATTAAATAAACAGCAAGATCACCTGTTTACCGTCTACAGGAGAAAAAGCTTACACCCAAAGGTACGAAGAGGCTGAAAGTAAAAGGCTGGAAAGACACACTGTGCTAACAAGAATCATAAAGGAGCTGGAGTGGCTAACATCAGACTAAATAGACTTTAAAACAAAAGTGTTACTGGAAATAAAGAAGCCGTTTCATAATGATTGAGGTGTCGATCCACTAGGAAGTTGTAACAGTTATAAATATTATAACCCTCACCCAAACAACACAGCCCCAAAACACTTGAAGCAAAAACTGACATAACTGAAGGGAAAAGTATAAAATTCAACAATCACGGATGGAGATTTTACCCGCCTCCTTTCAATAACGGATAGAACAACAGACAGAAGATCAACAAGGAAATACTCGATTTAAACAACTCGATAAACGAGCGACCTAACAGACATGTCTATGCGGCGCACACGCCCCACACGGCAGCAGAATACATGCTCTTCTCAAGCCCACGCTGGGATGGCCTCCACATGCGAGTCCATGAAACAAGCTTCAATAAATATAAAAGGGTTGAAGTGATACAAGGTATGTTTTCCAGGCACAATGGAATTACATTAAAAATCAGTAACAAAATAATTTGGGGAATTCACAAACATGGGGAAATTAAACATCGCACTTCGATAAAACCAGTGGGTCAAAGAAGTCACACACAAAAAATAGAAAACTTACTTCGAGATGAATGAAAACGAAAATGCAACATACAAAAACTTACGTGGTGTCACTAAAGCAGGGCTCAGAGGGAAACTTACAGCTGTAAATGTTAATATTTAAAAAGATCTCAGCTCAATAACCTGACCTTCTACCTTATGAAACTAGAAAAAGAAGAGAAAACTAACCCTGAAGCAAGTAGAAGGAAGGAAATAACAAATATTAGGACAAACATCAGTGAATTAGAGAACAGAAGAGCAACAGAGAAAATCAATGGGACCAAAAGGTGGTTCTTTGAAATATCAACAAAATTGACAAACCCTCAGTCAGGCTGACCAAGAGAAAAAGAGAGAGAAGACGCAAATCACCAGAATGAGAAGTAAAAGAAGGGACATTACTTCCAGCCTTACAGAAATAAAAAGCAGAACAAAAATAAAGGAGTAACAGGAACAGCAGTTTCCCATAAATTTGATGACTTACATGAAAGGGACAAATTCCTAAAAAGACACAAACTGCAGAAACCGACTCAAGAAAACAGGAAACATGAGCAAGCCTACAACAAGCGAGGAAGGAGCAATTAAAACCCTGCCCAGGAAGAAGCGCCGAGCCCAGGCGCAGCCCCTACCAGACAGAAGACAGAAGTGCGCCAGTTCTCCAGAAGCCCCCCGAAAGGCAGAAGAGGAAGGAACACGTCCCGGCTTATTCTAACGAGGCAGACATCACCCTGATAGCAAAGCCATTCAGACATCACACAGAAGGAAAACCACTGACTAGGACCTCTTATATATACGGACGCCAAAGTGCTCAAAAATATACTAGCAAACCAAATCCAGCAAGTCCGTAACTCACAGAGATGTATAGCAAGGATGCAAGATGTGTTGAATACCTGAAAATCAAGCAATGTAATATACCATATTAACAGAATCAAACCCAAAAACTACACGGTAATCCCAGTGGGTGCAGAAAAGTCATCGACAAAATCAGACATCCTTTCATGACAAAAATACTCAGGGAATTTCCTCATCGTGACAGAGGACATCTGAAACATACATACACTTACCCGAGTAACAGCATACTTAATGGTGAAAGACTGACGCTTTCCCTAACGTCAAGAACAAGGTAAGAACGTCCTCTCTTGTCACTTCCATGTAACACTGTGCTAGAGGTTCCAGCCTGGAAAATTAGAGAAAAGAAAAGAAAAGGCATCCAGGGTGAAAAGATAGAAGTGAAACTGCCTCTGAGTGCAGATGACATCATCTTACATATAGAAAAATCCTATCATAAGGAATTCTACTAACAAATTTTAGAACTAATAAATGGTTTCAGTAAGGCTGCAGGATGGAAACTCAATATGCAGAACTCAGCTATATACCTATACGTTAGCAATGAACAATCAGCAAAGGAAATTAAGAATACAGTTCAGATTTACACTGTCATCAAACAGAATCAAATTCTTAAGAACAGATTTAGCAAAAGACGTGTGAGACTTGCACACTGAAAACCATAAAGCATTGCCGAAAGAAATTGAAGATCTAAATTAATAGAAACACACCCCTTATTCATGTTGTGCATAGCAACTGTTAATTAGTAAGGTTCTCCAAACTGATCTACGTATTCAGTGGATTCACTATCAAAATCCCAGCTACTTTTCCTTTGCAGGTATTGGCCAGCTGATCCCTAAAATTCATATGGAATTGCAAAGGGCACTGAATGGCCAAAAGAATCTGCAAAGGGAAGAACAAGGTTGGAAGACTCATCCTTCCCAATTTCAAAACTTAACTACACATCTACAGCAATGACGACAGTGTGGTCCAGGCACAAGGACAGACAGACAGACTAGTGGGATAGAACTGAGAGTTCAGAAACCAACACTTACGTTTACGGTCAGTTGACTTCTGACTAAGGTGCCAAGACCATTCAATGAGGAAAGAATAATCTTTTCAACAAATTGCGCTGGGACAGCTGAATATCCACATGTGAAAAACACAGCTGGACCCTTACCTCACACCGTATATCAAAATTAATTCAAAATACACCATCGGCTTAAATATGAGAGTTAAAAGTATAAAATTTTTAGAAAAATGAATAGATGTAAGTCTTTATAACCTTCAATTAAGCAATGGTTTTTTAGATACACACCAAAAGCACAAGTGAAAAAAGAAAAAATTCACTGGACTATATCAAAATTAAAAACTCTTGTGCTACCGAAAATTCCTTTAAGAAAATGAAAAGATAACCAACACAATAGGAGAAAAACATACAGCTAGTAAACAAAGCTCTGGTTACGGCCAGGGGAGGGGCAGGGGATGGGAAGGGGGACACTGGGAGTTCGAGAATTGCTCATATTAGCTACTATATATAAAATAGATTTAAAAAACAAATTTCTTCTGTATAGCACAAGGAACTATACTCAACATCTTGCAGTAACCCATTACAAAAATTAATTATGTATATGTGTGACAGAAACATTATGCTGTACACCAGAAATTGACACATTGTAACTGACTATACTCAATAAATTTTTTTAAAAATCGTACATCTGACTTGTATCCAGAGCACATAAAAAACTCCAAAGCTCAGTAATAAAGACAAACAATCCAATTTTAAAATGGGCAGAGGATTTGAATAGACATTTCTGAATGCACAAGTGGCCAATATGCACATGAAAAGATGCTCAACATTGTGAGTCATTAGGGAAATACAGATCAAAACCACAGTGAGATACCACTGCCCACCCATTCAGTTGACTATAATAAAAAAAAGATGGACAATAACAAGTGTACAAGAATGTGGGTAAGTTAGAATAATGTGACTGAGTTAGGATAAGTTAGTGGATAAGCTAGCTAGAATGCAAAATGGTGTGGCCACTTTGAGAAACCGTTTAGCACTTCCTCAGAATGTGACACAGAGAGTCACCAGATGGCTTATCAATTCCAATTCTGCATATCTGCAGAATAAAAACGTGTCTACACAAGAACTTGGACATGAATTCATAGTAGCATCATTCATAACAGCCAAGCAACCCAAGTGCTCATCAACGGATGGGTCAACAAGATGTGACATATCCACACGATGAAAAGGTATTTGTCAATGAAAAGAAGGGCCGAAACATGCTACAGCATGGATGAACCTTGAAAACGTGCAGTCACAGTGAGAAGTGAAAGAAGCCAGTCACGAAAGACCACCGGGTGTGTGATCCCATTTATGTGAAATGTCCAGAATAGGCAAATCTATAGAAACAGAAAGTAGATTAGTGGTTGCCGAAGGCTGGAGGGGCAGGTGCTGGAGGGAAATGGGGAGCGCCTACTAAGGGGCATAAAGTTCCTTTGGGGGCTGATGAAAATGTAAAATTAATTGTGTTGCTGGTTGCATGACTCTGAATATACTGGAAACCACTGAATTATACACCTTTAAAAGGTGAATTGTATGGTACACGAATTATATCTCAACAAAGCTGTTTTTAAAAATGAATGAAATAGGTTTGTATGTATCAACCTAGATAAATCTCAACAAATGCAGGTAGAACAAGTTGGAAAAGGAAACAGGAATGCATACAGCCTGACACCATTTATGTGAAACTGTAAAACAAAAAGTAACAGCATATATTGTTTTTGGAAAGATAAGTCCTCAATAAGATATAAAACCGTAGATGCAAGAATACACCCCAACTGCAAAATGTTCCCTCTCTCCATAAAGGTTTTGTTTTTATTTTATGGCTTTCTCCATCATTTATGTTTAGCCCATAAAGAAATACATGCCTACGTTCATATCCTTTCCTTTCTTAAAAGACAAAAGACTATCCTTTTCTCTACTTCTTTAAACTGAACAGTATATACTGGAGATCTCTCTAAAGTTTACAGAGCTGGTCCAGTGGGGCTCTTTGGTTAATCTTGTTGGGGTTTATGTCTAAAAGGAGGAGCGCCAGAGATGGACGACTACACGGAGACGCTGAAGGATGAGGAGGACGCCTTGTGGGAGAATGTGGAGTGTAACCGCCACATGCTGAGTCGCTACATCAACCCGGCCAAGCTCACCCCCTACCTGCGCCAGTGCAAGGTCATCGATGAGCAAGATGAAGATGAAGTACTTAACGCTCCCATGCTGCCGTCCAAGATCAACCGGGCAGGTAACCGTAGGGGCCGCGCTGGCAGAAAGGGTGGGCTACCTCTTGCAGCAGCTTCGGTTGCTGTAGCAGAATGAAGTTTCTCTCAGTCACGGGTTTTGTAACTGGGGTCTGTAGACCTCCGTCCACCCCTGCTCCCCCACCTAGCTGTCCATGTGTAGAGAGAGTCCATGAAATTGGAAGGGGGCGGAGGGTTACGTCTTTATTTTACCGTCCTTCACTGAGACTGAGCGTCCCCTTTAGTTACGAACGATGGTGATCAGCGGTACCTGTGTCTTTGTCAACAGTGAACATTACAGATCTCTTCTTGTCACATTACAGCTGTCACAGACCTTCCAGAATACTTTTATACTCATCTCCCCTTGAAATTATAGTGGTTATTAGACCTGCCAAGAGATTGGGGTTTGATGCATTAATAAGGAAGCCCATTTCGTACTGAATCACAAATTTAATACTTGATAACTGTACCTTATTATAATTGGTTCCCTTTGTAATCCTATGCATTTGAACAGATGGTTGAAAGTATTATTCTGATAAAGGGTCTGTAGGCTTTTCCAGACTGCCTAGGGGTCCACGACACGTTATCACATTCATTAAAGGTAATAAGTGTGGTTTGTGAACATTGTTTTGGTTTTGTATACGTCTGTGAGTGTGTGTACACATATAGGTTTGTACATTTTTCTTTGTGTGTAAGCATGAGGTCACAGTGTTAAATACATTTCTTTCTGTGGCTCACAGTTTTAAAGGTCTGAAAGTCACTTGCCCACAGTATGACTGGAGATAAGCAGCTCATAATGCTGTGACCGTCTTTTGCACACACGACAGACATCACTAAGCGCAGCATGCTTTCCTGCCGAGCTTGGATGTAACCTTAGGACCCTTCTCAGCACAGTGCTCGAGGCAGCTCTGACAGTCAGTTGACACAAGATGAAATTTATTTATTATGTCTATCCTGTGGGAAAGGTAGAGTTTTAAGACCTCGAGGGAAGAAACAGCTGAAAATAAAATGTTCAAAGAAGGAACAAGAGAAGTAAACAATAAATGGAACCAGTAGGATAAAAATTGAAAACTGCCAGGCAAATTACATTTAGATTAGATGCTTCCAGACCATGTGATGACCCCACAGAAGAACATGGAGCTGTCCTTGCTTCCTGTGACTTTTCCTAGCTCCCCACCCAAATATTTGTCTTCCTGGTCTGAATCCCAGAGAACCATATGTTATTCTGTAACTGCTGCTGCACTTCCACCCTCCCTCAATCACAGATGAGCTGACGCTTGTACGGTTAATTTGCGCTGTGGTCACCTGGGATGCGCTTTAAAGCCAGTGGTTTCCTATTATGGCTGCAATTCCATTTATTCTGGTTCTACCAATTTCTTGGAGAAAGGAAACTGACACTCACTGAATCCCTGCTGAGGGCCTGGCACTTTGATTTACATCATCTGGCCTCCAAGATATAACTCAGTAGTGACAGGACGCAGTAAGACTGTCTTCTTAAGAGTGTACTGAGGGATGTGAGCCAGGCTAAGACTGGACTTGGAGACTTGCATCCAATCAGACACGCACTCTTCTTCTCACTGAGTGGTTTTGACTTTGCTCTAGGCCGACTCTTGGACATCCTGCACACCAAGGGGCAAAGGGGCTATGTGGTCTTCCTGGAGAGCCTGGAGTTTTACTACCCAGAACTGTACAAGCTGGTGACCGGGAAGGAGCCCACTCGGAGGTTCTCCACCATTGTGGGTAAGTGGTTTGTCATCAGGAGCATTTGGACTGTGGTAGGAGGGGTGTGTGTGTGTGTGTGTCCAGTGGTGGGACAGTTCTAAGGCTATGAATCTGTGACATCAGGACAGTGCCCTGGTGGCACTTGTGAACTGTCAACCACTTATTTCTGCCCATTGATGAAAGGTAGGTGACAGAGGAGCAAACTGAAGCAAGAGCCAGGAGAAGCGGGTTTTCATTGGACATCCC